ATAAACCATTCTAAAAATTTACCTGAAAATTTTTTGGAATCAGCTAACTCACCTATTCCCTGCTGATTGGCTCCTTGTCCTTGAGATTTTTCCGGATCATTCTTAAATAATGTAAATGGACCTTCGGACCCTAAGGCGTTTGAAGCTATTCCAGCAAATATCAGAGTGCATAAAAATGATATTACATTTTTAAGGGCCTTCACTTTTTTTCGACCAACTTGAGAACTTTTAGCCATTGCACCTATTACTAAACATATACCTATAATAGTTACGATATTTTCACTCATATAAGGAGCTAATGAGAACACTGTTGAATAATCTATGTTCAAATAACATATAGTCTTTAAACTATATCTGGACTATATCTTCACCCAGTACTTATTTTTTTTTTGTATTTTATAAAATACAAAAAAAATTGTACCGGGGTATAACGTGTAGTCTCTGAGGATCTTATCTTAATTAAAAAGTATTAGTTTCCCTTAAATTTTATAGCGTTTATTTTAGCTAAAAAAAATAAACGGAGGTTTAACCGATGCTATGGAAACCAGGAAATATAAGTTATAATAACTATATCTCATAGAATAATTTTTAATTAATTTCATTTCCTGCGGATTGTCCATTTTCACTTATCTAATTTAACCTAAACAAGATCTATTCTTTTTAATGTTTATGGTCTGTGTACACTCAACTTCGTTTTTTTTATGTATACGTACTATAAAACATATAAGTATATATATATATATCTTGAGTTTCCACAATATCCTATAAAAAGACTTTAGGGGTTTCCCGCATATAGTTATATAATAAGGGCAATATTACTACCACCCACGGCAACATATATTTAAAATGTTAAATATTCCAGATGTGAGAAATTAAATACTTTACGCTTACTATTGAATTGATCTTTTATTGCTTTTATTTCATCTAGACCCTCTTTATTTAAACAGGTTACTCTATAGAGATCTTGAACACGACATCAATCCTTATAAGCTAAATACTTAGAGGAATATAAAGGGAAACGATCAAAGTAATTACGAACTATATCATGACTTTTATAATTATGAGATATAACCATAAAAGCGTAAAACACTCTGTCATCTACACTTCTAGTTCTAGTATACAGATTTACAGTAAAGAATTCAGCAATCATAGTCATAATATTAAAATAACTAGCTCCACCTTTATCTGCGGGAACTTCTCTAGGATAGTTTTGTTTAACTTCTATACGGAAAAAGGTTTGGACTCTTTTAGCTCCAACTTTACCATTTTTCTTTTGATGGGTTAAAACTATAGAAAAATTTCCGTCCGCGTCTGTAAAACCTGCTAATCAACTATTGCTATCTAGAGATGACGTATCTAAACCTAAATAAGGTATAGAGCTATTATCCTTTTCATTTATCCAACATATAGCTCTATGTAAAGCTTCTATTTTAGGAGTACGCATACGACCATTAATAAGATTAATGATCTTTAATACTTCTTCTTTAGCTAATATTTGTAGTAAAACATGACCCGCACTAGATCTGCTAACTACTTTACCAACTTTAAAGACAGCAGATAATTTTTCTGCTAAAGGTCTATCATGGATATTGAAAACAATAATAATTTTTGGACGATATACTTTAGATTTAGAATTTTTATCGTGCACAGCGATATGTCCATCACCTTCAATTAACCCAGCTAAGTAAGATCCTCATTCACAAAAAGAGGTCTTAGAAGAATAACATCTCACTTGTCTGTAAGGTAAATTTCTTGCGGAGCATGTATTATTAAATCTCATTCTATTGGAATATTTAATCATTTTTTGATTATTACCAAAACTTCATAAAATCGCAAACATACCTATAGTTAAAAAGGTATCACCTACTCTATTAGTTAATAAGGCTGAAAGAGAACTTTGATTTGCTGCTATTCTAGTAAATCAGAAACATACTAGAAGATAAGAACAAATTCCAACACCCTCTCATCCTACAAACATAAGTAAGTAATTGTTTGCAGTTACTAATATAACCATCATGAATGTGAAAAGACTCAGATAACTGAAAAACCTTTGATTGTGAGGATCGTGACTCATATAAGAAATTGAATATATATGTACTAATGAAGATACTATTAATACTGGTAAAAGCATAGACACAGTTAAAGAGTCAAAATGGAATCCTCATGACACATTAAGTGATTCTGAATCAATTCATCTAAACAGTTGTATTGATACAGGTATGTTATTTAAACCTACTTCAAAAAAGGCTAAAATTGCAAAAAGTGTAGTAGTTAGCGCACTACTACACGTAATTAACTGGGCACCGCGAACTCCCAGTTTTCGACCAAAAAAACCTGAAAATATTGCGCCTAAGAAAGGTAATATAATTAT